AGATCTGCCTGGCTCTGCCTCCCGAGTGCTGGGATTAAAGGTGTGTGCCACCACCTCCCGGCTAACCTGTTTCTTTTAATCCACATTCTGCCACATGGCTCAGTCACCTCTGCTCTGTACCAACTTCTTCAGAGTCCCTGACGAAATCCGTGGGCCTAGATTCCTCCTCCTCTTCCTTGCTCTCCCCAGAAATCCTGCCTATCCTCTCCTGCCTATCTATTGGCCATTCAGCTCTTTATTAAACCAATCAAAAGGTGCCTTGGGCAGAGATACATCTTTACAGTGTATACAAATATTCCACAACAACAGTTCATATGTTGTTACCCAAATATTCCTCCTCCCAGCCAGTTTCTTCTAAGGCCCTCGCATTAGAAGCTGCTTCCACATCTTAGGCAGTCTACTGACAGGTTACAGGATGATTTACCACTGCGTCTGTGTCCACACAGGACCACTATAGTGGCTTGTGGATGCAGTCCCCAGGCCTGATACCGTTCTCTTGCTCAGAGAAGGGTCTAGGCCTTTCTCCTTTGAGTCCACTGGGACCAGGAGAGGTGGACCTTGCTCTTCTGCCACAGCACCCAGATCGTGCAGATGGAGTAGCTCACTCTGTTGGACGTCTTGACGTAACTGGGAAAGTAGCTGAGCCTGAGAGCAGGAGGGGTGAAACGGGGAGGACTGGGTTCTCGGAACCCTGAGGGGAATAGCAGGCAAGGCGACAGGCTTCTATGGTCTGGCTTTGCATCTCCCACTTGAGAACCGATACGACCTTGGGGGAATCTCTGGTGTTGCTGGAAACCACTAGGAAGAATCTGTGCGCCCTTTTCTCCCTTCAGACCGGGCAACTCAGCGGGACTCTCAGCCATGCCTGGACAAGCAAGTCGAGTCTTTCTCCAGAGAAGTGGGAGCTGTCTGTCAAGGGGCACGGTCTCACCAGCATCTGTGGCCGAGGACTGACGGCATCACTGGACTTCTTCCTCTTCCCTTCATTGTGACAGGGCACATACTCCACAGCACGGCAGTGCTGTCCAGTCTGAGTCTTGGAGCAATAAGAGCCACCTGAGAAGAAGCAACCAGGACAAAGAACCGGCTGTCTCCTGTCTTCTTGTGACCCCAGCCTCCATCCACGACCAAGTGGTTCAAAAAAACAGCCAACCAGGATCTTTTTTCTTTTATCTGATTTATTTATCTTTATTGTATGTGCACTGGTGTTTTGCCTGCATGTATGTCTGTGTGAGGGTGTCAGATCTCGGAGTTACAGTTGTGAGCTGCCATAAAGATGTTGGGAATTGAACCTGGGTCCTCTGGAAGAGCAGTCAGTGGTCTTAACCTCTGAGCCATCCCTCCAGTGCCCCAGAAAGCTGTTTCTAAGGAAAGAGAGTAACCATGATGAGACAATAGCTCCCAAGACCCAATGCACATGTCTAAATAATTTCATACAGGAATATTCAGCACACCATGTACATGGCAGAGCAAAGCTGCTCCCTTAACAACCTGGGAGCAGAGATAGGAGAGAGCTGGAGTCCTGTACTCTCTCCTAGTGCCTGCCCCAATGACCCGAAGACCTCTGTAGCAGCCTTTCTTTTGGGCCATCAACCAGCTCCCAAATCATGGCACGGAGACTTATTATTAATTACGAATGCTTGGCCTTATCTTACGTTTGTCCCACTTGCTCTTATATCTTATTTTAACCTGTTTCTATTTATCTACATTTTGTCTTGGGGCTTTCTACCTTTCTTTCATTCTCTAGGTCCTTCTTCCTTGCTTGCTCCCAGACATATTCTCTCTCTGTCTCTGTCTCTGTCTCTGTCTCTCTCTCTCTCTTCCTCTCCCTCCCTCATTCTCTCTCTCTTATTTCTGAGTCTAGATTCCTCCTACTACTTATTCTCTCTATCCACCAGCCCTACCTATCCCTCTACTGTCTAGCTATTGGTCATTCATCTTTTTGTTTGTTTTTTGAAATAGGGTTTCTTTGTGTAGCCCTGGCTGTCCTGGAATTAGCTCTGTAGACTAGGCTGGCCTCAAACTCACAGAGATCCACCTGCCTCTGCCTCCCAAATGCTAGGATTAAAGGCATGTGCCACCACCCTGGCAGCCATTCAGCTTATTAGACCAATCAGGTGCCTTAGGCAGGCAAAGCAATACATCTTTACACCGTTAAACAAATGCAGCATAAATAAATGTAACACACCTTTACATAGTAAAAGTAATATTCCACAACAGACCTCCTTTGGGGCCCATCTCTTAAAGGCTCCGTAGCATCCCTGTAGTGCTACCTGGGGACAATCCTTTACCATGTGGACTTTTGGGAGACATGTGAGGCAAAACTATAAAGCTGGGAAAGCTGCATGGAAAGCTGAAGCAGGAGAGTCATATGAGTCCAGTGTCTGAGACTTGCTTGGGAAACACAATAAAGCCTCATCTCTTGAATTAAAACAAGATCCAGCTGTAGCTGGATCCCATGTAGCTGCAAAGGTGTTCATGGATGAAGGGAGACATGAATGATAGAATTAGAGTTCTCTGAAAGGAAAATTGGTGAGACCATGTCACTAAAGACTGAAGAGAAAACACCTCACCCCAACCACTGGATACCCGAGGAAGACATGTTTTTCTCAGCTATTCATAACTCCGTGTTTTAGTGTCTAGATCAACACTGCATAGGGATGAGTCTGCATAGTAGCTTTTGTTACCTAGGCATTGATGACAATTAGCCTGTAACTAATTGCTTCCAGCTGCTCCACTTTGATTAATCAATCAAAACAAATGTATTATGGCATGCCTGTGGTTTGATATCTATAGAGCTAGAAGCTTAGCAAGCCTGAGATGGGAACAAGATGACTATGTGCTCAGCGGGTCGGGGGTGGGAGGACTGGAGTGGACAGAGCAAGTCTAGAGAAGGGGGAAGGTGGGATCTGAGGGACAGGCAAAAAGAGAGGACTTAGTGCAGGCCTCGACAAAGGGAGTGAAGGGCCAATGGAGTCAGTTTCTACCTCTGTCTCTCATCTCTCTTTGTACCCATTCCCAGCGGTGGCGGTGGTTGGGTTTGTTTGGTTTTGACTAGGTCTTATTTTGTAGTCACGTCTAACCTGGAACTCACAATGTGAGTTCAGCTTTCTTTAAGCTTCATAGAACCATGCTAGTAACCCATTAGCACCATTTCCTGGGGGCCTGGCTAGGATGTAGCCACCACAGTACAGGAATGTGCTTATATCAATAAACTCTGTTTTGTTTAGTGTTATGTTTTCTCTTCTCAAAGCAATCTGGGGGCCTGATCCCAGGCTCTCCTAGCTTCTGTGTGCGCACACAGGCTTTATCTCCTTCAATATACACATTGCTCTTCCTCCATGAGTGGTTCTAACATTTCCTTGGTGGGATTATTTTGTGGCTTGACCTTAGTCTGGTGCAGGTGAAAAGGTATTGGTAGCTTCTGAGAAGGGCTTGTTTTGTCTTGCAAGGTAAACTTATGGATGAGAGATGATGAGGCTAGACCAGCCTTTAATGCAGAGGTCGGAGACACTTCTACACCCCCTGAGCACTCAAGGTGATGGGTTTTAAGGTTTTTAGATGCATGGAAAAAGATGCCCTGGCCCAGGTGTCAGAGTCCCACTTTGCCAGCTGCTAGCCCAGACCTTGGCCAAGCAGACTTGCCGGAACTGAGAATCATTTTGGAGTTCTGCTGCCCTTGTCATGAAGCCCTGGTCTTGTACTCAGCTTTCGATGCCTTCTCTCAAGCTGGTGAGATGACACTTTGACTTTCATCCTCGGCCTTTGGCAATTAATCACTCTAAGACTTTTGTTATCTTTCTCCAGGGCATAGATTTACTACATCCATAGTTACACAATTTCATCTGCATGTGTTGGTGTTATGGGACACAGTCTTGCTAGCTCAGGTTGGTCTTGGACTTGCTACTGTCCTGTCTTAATCTTCCAAGTGCTAGGGTTATAATCATGTGCCCCATTCCTGTCTTTAAATTACCATTTCCCTTACATTAAAAAACAAAACAAACAAACAAACAAACAAACAAAAAAACACCTGCTGATTGTACCCACTGTTGCATTCTTCCATTGGTATTATATTCTAGTCTTCTAAAAAAAAGTTTATTTTTATTTATTTGTATTCCTGTGTGTCTGTATATGTCAAGGCCTGCAAGCTCCTGGGGCCCTCACTGAGAGCTGGTCACAGGATAATACAGCTTTACTGTTTCAGACTCCTCTCATGGGCCTTAGTGTCCTTGGGATCAGCGTCATGCAGCAATGGATGGAGCAGGAAAGAGGAGAAATAGAAGCTGAATTAAATGTTATCATAGCAAAAGCTTCAGCCAATCGTTTTCTTGGGAGCTGGTCCTAACAGGGAGCTCGGGAGCCCAGAGAGCCTTCAGAGTGGTCCCACCCTGACCACATCTAGTCTGGCAAAGCTCTCCTGGAAGTGCTGTAATGTGGCATGAAGACGCTCTCTCCAGCTGAGGGCAGTTCCTGGAGTGGGATTCAGAGGGGTGCTGCTGGCCTCCAACCCTCCCAGGAAACAAGTGTCTCAGCTGGGAAGAGCCTGTGTCTTCGTTCTTGGGTGTGCAGGGGTAGTGAGTGGGGAGGGGCTGTGATGTGGAGATGGGGAGAGGGTAGAACAGAGGAAATACCTTGAGACTTTGAACAAGATCCTCCATGGGGCTGGAGAGATGACTCAGTGGTTAAGAGCACCGGTTGCTCTTCCAGAGGGCTCTGGTTTGATTCCCAGCACCCACATGGTGGCTCACAACTGTCTGTTAACTCCATTTCAGGGGGTCTGATGCCCTCTTCTGGCTCTCTCAGGCACTACACACACATGATACTTAGCTATACAGGCAAACCACTCATACAGACAAAAAATTAAAGACTTTTGAAAAACGTGAATTGGTAACTTTTTTAAATTTAATGGGGGGTGATGGATGAGGGAGATACATTTAAAACTATACTGAACACTTACATAATCCCTAATACTACTCACCTCTGACAGTGCAGAATAGGGGAAGTTAGGACAGAAACCAAATTCTACTCAGAAGAACATGCCTTCCCCCAGGATTACAGCTAGTCCAGTAGGTTTCCATAAGCCACATTCAGACAGCTAACTTACTTTGTTTATCTGTACAGCATTGAAAAATGTGAATTGACTGCCACTATGTAAAAATGAGAAGAATCTATACATAAATTTGGATTTCTACCTTCTCTGGGCTAACTGGAAGTTCTAGCAACATGGAGTCAACATTCCTGCATGGCAGTACTTGTCTGGAGCTGAGTGACATCATGGGTGGGGGCGGGTAGGGATGCTCCTTAGTTAATCAGTCTATGCATCACCCTCACTGGTGATTTGGGTAGACTCCCTATCGTACTACTGTGTATTGCTTAAGAAAGTTTACGGTGTAGAATAGGCTGATAGATATGTGATACTGAGTTCATTAGAGAGGAGGCTGGGTGAAGGCTAGACCTCTGTTGGCAATGAGAGGCTTAGTGCACAGGGGGAGGAAAGAGCACTCTGTACACACGCACAGCAAGATGAATGAATGACCCAAGGCTGGAGTCTGAGTAAAGAATGAAGAGCAAAAGGCCAGCATTTAAAGTTACAGAGGACCAGAGACTATCAGGGAAGACACCAGACAAGGAGAGGAAGGAGACAGAGGAAGGACATTTAGCAATGGAATGTCAGTGGAGGGGAGGGAAGTCAGGGCTCAGCCATATCTAAGAGTTTCAAAGATGAAGACAAAACCCCGGGGCACAGAGGAGATAAGCAGGGCTTGTCAGAGGCAGGATGAGAAGAGGAAAGGGAGGTGTGGGGCTGGAGGCTTAGCAGTGAAGTAGACATGCTGGCATAGTATTTGGGTCAATGAGTCAGAGCGTTATCAGGGGTCCTAGACGGAGAGAGCACAGAGGCTATTTAATACTCATCCACTCCTTTTCAGCACTGTCATCATGTCTGACATCATCTACAGAAATTAGCATCCATATTGCATCTTTTAAGAAGGGATCACGGAAACGGCCAATCTCTGTCTTTTTGTTTTAGTCGAATGAAACATTAATTTAATATGCACTTTGGACGATCACCAACCGACCCAGACTTGAAACTTCTCTTACAGATATATCACTTTGTATATGGGCTCTGTGGATTTTCTGTGGTGAAACGAAAATTGTGGTTTTGTTTCATCTTATCACCCACTTGGTATCTTTCTGTGTGGCTAATGGTTGATTACTCCAGTGTGTGCTCTGAGTCTATACACTCTTTTGTTTGTTTTTGAGACTAGGTGCCCTGGTTGGCTTGGAACTCATGAAGATTTGCTTCCCTCTGATAAAGGCAAGCACCTCCACACCCTGCCTGTGAACACATTTTAACATAGACCTAAGTAAAGTGCATTGAAGAAAAGTCATTTCAAAGTTCAATGTCGGCTATTGAACACACCCTGCACCCTCCCACTCCCATCCCGGGTAGAGTTTCACCATGTAGCCCTGATTGGCCTGGAACTCCCTACGTAGAACAGGCTAGCCTCGAGCAAAATACCTTTCTAAAGTATCCTCTTTTGTAAGGAGTGCACAGCCACATGAAATCCTTCAAACTCTGGTACTGGGCATTGGGAAGGCTCTGGTTTCTGGAGAGGCTGATTGTCCTTAAAGCCGAACCACTCTGGTAACTATCAACTCTGATCTTGGGTATAGCCTGGAACCTCCAGTGCCCTAGTCATCAGTTAGGTATGGCTAGTGAGCCCTACTAGAAAGGTCTGCTGAAAGGCTGAATAAGACGATGTATGCGTGTATGTTAGACCCTTTAAAGGCTTTTACAGTGTGGTGAATTAGTCTTCAATCTTACAAACCGTGCAAAAGTTTTATTAACTTGGGTGCCTATCAGTTTAGTAGAGGAATTTCAGGTTGGGGACTCTAGAATCTCTGAGAACTTGGATCGCCACTGGGTCTTGCTTTGGAATTTAAGCGACTTAAAAAAAAAAAAAATAAGAAATCACGGAATCTCTTTTGGCCTTCCATTTTCCAGCAGCCGTGAGAAGCCCCCATCGACTGCGAGGCGGTGTGTGTCTTATATTTTTAAGCGCTGAAGGACGAGAGACCGAACACGGTCCTCAAGAGATCATCGGCAGAGATCAGCGCGCAGAGAAAGCTTAGCCTCAGGACACCCTAACTTCCAGCCCCGGGAGCAATCCAAGCCCGGAGGCCGGCGGGGGAAGGGCCGACCGAGGCGGCGGTGGCGGTGCCAAGCCGACGCTCCGGAGTCGGCTCAGATTCTCCGACCGGAGCCCCGCGCCAGGCTAGAGGGGGAGACCGGCGGCGGTGAGGGACGCGCGCCTCCGGGCCCGGAGGAGTTAGGTGACGTCACCTCCAGGAGGACTCGCTTTTTCATTAATGAAACCGGCCGGCGCGGGCGCATGCGCGGCAGGCCCCTTCCCTCTCGCTGCCCCCCCCCACCCCCTTTCCCAGCCGCGCTCTCAATCTCGAGCTCGCTCGCTCGCTCTCCCTCTCCCCGAGCCGTGGAAAGGATCCCACTTCCGGTGGGGTGTCATGGCGGCGTCTCGGACTGTGATGGCTGAGGGGAGACGGCGCTAAGTGGGGAGAGCCACCCACAGGCGCCCTCCCCTCCCCGGGCTCCCCTTCCCACCCCTTCCCCCAGCCTCCTCGCCAACGCCCCCTTCCCCTGTCCCCCTCCTGGCGGGCCACTCGGGCCCCCGTCCCCACCCCCGTGGGAACGCTCGCTGCCCGCACTCCTCAGCTGCTCGGCTCGCCGCTGCCTTCACCCTCAGCG